CTGAGAAACCTTTGTAGGATCCTGAGAAACTTTTGCAGGATCCTGAGAAACCTTTGCAGGATCCAGAGAAACCTTTGCAGGATCCTGAGAAACCTTTGCAGGATCCTGAGAAACCTTTGCAGGATCCTGAGAAACCTTTGCAGGATCCTGAGAAACCTTTGCAGGATCCTAAGAAACCTTTGCAGGATCCTGAGAAACCTTTGCAGGATCCTAAGAAACCTTTGCAGGATCCTGAGAAACCTTTGCAGGATCATGAGAAACCTTTGAAGGATCCTGTGAAACTTACGCAGGATCATGAGGAACTTTTGCAGGATCCTGAAAAACCTTTGCAGGATGCTAAGAAACCTTAGCAGGATCATGAGAAACCTTTGCAGGATCCTAAGAAACCCTTGCAAGTTCCTGAGAAAACTTTTCAGGATCGTGCAAAACTAAGGCAGGATCCATGTTTGTTTTTTTCTCCATGTCCCCTTATGGGCTCCGTAGATTTGAAACAAAAACAGGCAGACTTGGACTAGTTTATGAAATTCAGATGGGACAACTTGGGGACTTTTTCAAATGAAAAGTCGCACAAATTTTCAGAACATGTTAAAAACTCAGGATACCGGAGGGCAGACGTCTCTACAACTCAACCCCACCCAGCCCAGCGAGAAACAACCATTATTTTTACGTTATCTGCTACATAACTAAWCTGAATTAGTAAATTTACCTGACCTTAGTTTGTCTTTTATTKTGAAACTCTTCAGAGAAGCTTTAAAGATTTTCTTAGATTTGCAGCTGCCTTTACAGTATGTTGTACACAAAAACCTCCAAATCTATGAATCAAACTACACAGAGCTGTGAGTGCAAAAGTGTATATTATCAGTGGCACTAAAGAGAACACATTGCCCCTGTTTGTGTGCTTCTTTGAATCATTTGTCAGACTTATTGATTCCTGTAAATCTTGCTTAGAATCGTGGGATGACTGAGCAAATCAATGGAGTTGTGCTTACAGTATAGTGTCATATCTCATGTGTTCCCCTCCAGGGCTGGAAAAGTGTACCCCCCCCCTCCCACACCCACCCACACAGCCACCGTCACCTATTTTATCGCTTCGTCTCGTGTCTCTCACACATCAGTGCACACACCAGCAGCAGCAGAGCCCGGTGGATAACTGMATGCCCTCTTTTGACGGCCACTTCTCACACAGAAACTAGTTAAATGCAATCCCCCCGGACGCGGTGACCCGCAGGCGTGCGTCGTCCCCCCCAATTTAATCCCGCCCTTCCCCTCTTCAGATGGAGCTGATCCCTCGCATTTCTAACTGCCGTTATCAATCTTCCCCATGCAGCCTCTGCATCATTAGCTGCCAGTATTTTACTAAAAAACACCAACATAGGTTTCTGTCTTTTTTTTCTTCCCCTCTCCTCCGTTGCATTCCACTGCAGGTTGGCACGGTGCCAGGCGGTGCCATGCAGCGCAACAGTGCCACCTACAGGTTCAGTACCACCAAACCTGACCCACTGACAGCTGCTCCCCAMCCCCCAAACCCCTCCTGTATTTGTCCACGTGTGTTCCATTAGATTAGAACTGTGTGTTGTGCGGTGATGCTTTATTAGCAGAAAAATTAATAAGGCTTTGATAAAAAAGCAGCGTGGATTACGTTGAAATTTGAGGCTCATTATTGGCTAATCCGTTTTGAATTGGATGTGTATCAAGTTCCAGACGAGCTTTACTCAGTTCGCTGGTGTGATTTGAGAGAGAGGCATTTAATTCAAGCTTAGATGATGAAGCAAAGCCTACAGTGACATTCACAAAACCACTGTAGCACACTAATTATTCACTGTTGCTGCTGCAGCAGGTGTTGAAAAGGTTACAAAATCTTTTGTGGTATTACAACAGACACCAAAAATAAAGAGGAGGGAATAAAAAACTAAAACCAAAACAAAGCAAAACACATGAACACGTTTGTATGAGGAGAGAGGTGAAAATAGTTTGGGTTTTTGTGTGTGTGTGTGTGTGTGTGTTTGCAGGTTTTTGCTGTGATTTTTGACAGTTATCTGAGTAGACAGGCAAGAAAAAAATGTTTCTTTCACAATGAACATTGAGACAGTTAATGGTATTTAGTAGTTTTTTTTTAAACAGCGATCTAAGAGAAAAAAGTAAGGCATGGCAATCACTCACCCTTTTGCATTTGGTAAATATGGTTTGAATATTTTTAACGACAAAACAGATGTTTGATGATTATCATTCCCAAATTACACTTGATTATTGAGTCAATGATCAGCTTCATTAATTGTACCTTTTCTCTGTTTTTCATGTCTTTGTCTTGGATGAGAAACAGCAGAATTTGTTGAAGCTGTAAGTCTCCAGGACTCTTTTCTCGTTTTTTTTTTCTTTTCCCCCAAACTACCATTTAAGTGAGTTCCTAATCTAGACTGGCACTTTAGCACTGTGGAACAGGGCAGTTATAGGCAGTACTTATAGACCAGTAAAAGTGCTCCTTTACCTGCTGTCTGGTGTGCATGGGCCCCTTGGTTTTGAACCCTCCTTGGGAGCTGCTCTCTGAGGCACTGAAGTGGTCGGAGCTCGTGGAGGACCTCTTGGAGAGGGTGTCACAGCCCCCGACGAACGTGTTATCCAACGGGAGTTCCTGAATAACGTGGTGCTTCTTGACYGAGACGGGCGTGTCAGCCTTGAGGTGGAAGGCCGACTGCGGCGAGGCGGACTTGTAGTGCCGGGCCAGGTCTGGGCTGCTGGGTTTGAAGGTGGTAGTGGGCGTGGCATTCCAATCAAACCGTCCAATCCCTTGCTCCTCCAGCTCGGTGGGCAGACTGATGGTCCCGTTGATCGGCTCGTGGGCGGGGTCGTCGGGCTTGTTCCCCTCGATGGAGACGAAGTTGAGCAGAGAGTTTTTGGGGGACTTCCTTTTCTTGCGTTTCTTCTTCTTGTTCTGCTTGTTCTCCGTRTTGGGTGACATCCACTCTGCACCCTGCTTCTTCCTCTGTGCCGCTTTGAACCGGGAGGCGTGGCGACATCGCAGTAGCACAGTCACGAAGATGACGATAATCACCACCAAGGCGCCGGTAACGAAAGCTATCATTATAGTAAGGTAGTCGCCACTTTGGTAGGTTTCACTGCTTTCGCCAATGTTTCTGTCAATCGGGGTCTCCATGGTGCGCCGGATGAGGTCGTAGATTAACGATGAGTTGCCCACAGTGTCGTTGACGTAGAGAAACACCAGCACCAGAGTATGGAGGGACTTGGGATACCCCAGGTCACTAATATTGACCACCAATCGGTGCAAGCCTATGTCTGTCACAGCAGGTTTTTCTTCCAGCGTGATATTTCCAGTGACCGGGTCGATTCTGAACAAACCCTTGGTATTACCGCTCACAATCGTGTATTTCAGCTCCGCATTCATCCCCGTGTCCCCGTCGACCGCGAAAACCTCCGCTACCACAGATCCAGGGATGGAGGAGAGGGGGACGAGCTTGAAGGACGTGTTGGAGGGCGGGTAGATGACGATGGGTGTGTTGTCGTTGACGTCGATGACATTGATGGTCACCTTTGCAGCAGAGGAACAAGGCGGTCTACCGCTATCCACCGCCCTGACGTCGAACGTGTAGGAACTCTGCTGCTCCCTGTCGAACGACACATTGGATTTTATCACCCCAGAATAAGGATCAAGTATGAAGTTCTCATTGTCGTTCAGGATGGAAAGAGAGACAGCAGCGTTTTCTCCAGCGTCAGAGTCTGTGACAGTTATCACCCCCACAGTGCTGTATTTAGGCAGATTCTCTGACACAAAGAACTGAAAGTGGTTGTGTGTGAACTTGGGATTGTTGTCATTCTCATCCAGCACGGTCACAATAACAGCCGCCTGCGTCTGCAGAGGAGGGGTCCCGTTATCTCTGGCTGTGACGGTGAAGAGGAACCGATCCTGGTCCTCCCTGTCAAACACCCTGGACGCAGTCAGGACCCCGGTTTTACGGTCCAGGTCGAAAAACGAAGCATTGGGCCCCAGCTGGTACACGATTTCCGCGTTCTTCCCGCTGTCCTCGTCCGTGGCGCTGAGCGTGGTGAGGAACAGGTCGCGTTTGTTGTTCTCCATGACGGCCAGCTCAATGACCGGCTGGGTGAAAATTGGAGAGTTGTCGTTCTCGTCCTCCAGCCTGACTCTCACCAGGGCCGTCTGATTCAGGCTGGGCTTCCCAGAATCCGAAGCGACGATCTTAAAGTTGTATTCCTTCGTCCCCTCATAGTCGAGCAGCGCAGACGTCTCCAGCAGGTACTGGTTGTCGTAGACGGCTTTCAGATGGAAGGGCACATCCTTCTCTATGAAACAAATGACCTTGCCATTAATGTCAGTGTCTTTGTCTGACACCGTGATGAGAGCAATCTTTGTATTGATGGGATCTTTCTCTGAGAGGAAAACAGTGCCATTAATGGGACTGATTATGTATCTCAGGTCTATATTGGGTGGATTGTCATTTACATCAGTTACATTTATGGTAACAGTAGCTCTGGCTGGACTCGAGCTGCCATCACTGGCTAAAACAGAGAGCTTGTGAATAGCAGTCTCCTCCCTGTCCAGAGGTCTCTGTACTGTAATTAGGCCAGATGTTGTGTTTAATGCAAAGAGTCTTTTTGTAGCAGGGGACACCTGAGCCCCGAATACATAATGAATGTCTGCATTTGCTCCTATGTCTGCATCTGTGGCTTGGAGYTGCATCACAGATGTGCCGATGGGGGAGTTTTCAGGAATGTGCACCTCTATCTGGCTCTCTTTAAACACCGGTTTGTTGTCGTTTACATCCGTCACGGTGACCTGGAGAATGGCAGTGCTGGATTTCTGCGGCACGCCCCCGTCCTCCACTTTGATCTTCATCACGTACGTGTCCTTCTGTTCCCTGTCCAGGTTCTGCTGCACGATGAGCTGGGGCCACTTCTCCCCCTCGGGCGTCTCCACGATGTCCAAGCCGAAGGCGCTCTGCCCGTTGATCAGCTCGTATTTGTGGACGCTGTTGGGGCCGGTGTCCGGGTCGGTGGCCGAGGGGATGGCGAAGCGGCTGTTGATGAGCGTGTTCTCYGGGATGGAGATGTTGATCACGGGAGACGGGAACATGGGGGCATTGTCGTTGGTGTCTTTGACGATTATTTTAATCTTGATCAGCCGGAAGTTATCGTTAGGCAGGATGACCACCTCGATTTCAAAGGAGCATTCGCTGTCCTCGAACGAGGGGCCGGGGCACAACTTCTCCCTGTCGATTCGGTTTGATGTGGTGAAAATCTCCCCGGTGCTGGCCAGAACACGGACTAGTGGGTTATCTCCTGCTTTGGAGACGAGCCGGTACACTAGATTAGCACTTGCACCAGTGGCAGCATTAACATGCGAGATGTTTAGGTCTCTTGGTATGTTTCCAATAAGAACATTTTCTTGAAACTCCTCCCTGATGGGGTAGATTAGCTCTTGGGCTATYGACGGATCGAGCCATATGCAGGCAAGCAGAGCACCCAACAGGTAATAGTCTTTTAGATCCATGGTAATGATATTTTTTGTTTCTCAGTTTCTYTCTATGCAACCTTTTATAGTCAGTGAATCCTTGGAGGAATCGTCCACACCTACAAATACAAAGTTTCTCTTTAGTGAWGTTGCTAAATCATGCACAGCAATTGCAATTTAAGCAACAGTAAAGTTGAAGCTAAGCAGAAGAAACGTTCAGAAACAGTCACAAAAATCAGCYGCAGCTGCTTAATCTTAACACATTTTATGCTCACCAAGAATTKTCAACCCCTGCAGCCACAGAACTTCACAACACATTTCACAGACTTGGTAATTTCTCATTTAGATTGGTGAAATTAAAGCACTAAAGCTGTGTGTGTGCGTGCGGTTGTGTGTGTGTGGTTGTGTGTGTCCTAAACGAATGAATGAAGCCACTCAGTCTGAGGCTGAATTCAGAGACCYGGTTTTATTCTACATACCCAGATCCGATGCAGCAGAGGAGAACCTGGAGTGTGTCAGCTCATCTCATCCAGGGTGATGCTCTGTAGTTTTTTTTTTTTATGGTTTAAAGCAAAAATAAAAAATTAAAAAATAAAAAAGGATCCTTTTACGCACGTCTGTGTTGGAATATAAATATAAAAAAACACCAAGTAGATCAGACAGGAGGGCAGGTTTTGGGTAGGAGAGGCTGAGCGGACAAACTGGGGTAAATTTCAGGCTGCATCGCTCGTGTCGCAGTTCCTTTCCTCCTCCTCCTCTTCCTCAGTTTAAGTTCAGAAATGGACAAACCGGGATCCGCGCCGCTCGTCCAGCAGGAAAAAGGCAGCTCAGAGGTTTCTGGTGTCTCCCGTTAGTCCCAGAATCAGGGCTCATCTCCTGCCCGCACGTCCCGAGGAGAGAAAAAAATCAGCCTCTCTCTCTTTTTTTCTTTCCCCCTCTCCCGGGTTACCTGTGAAGGTGAAGGCAGCGACGCAGGATGAGACACGCGCGTCCCGTCATCATGATTCAAGTTCCAATAATCACCACACAGACCAGGTTAGATTTTTTTTTTAAAAATGAAAAAGGGGGGTTTTATGGAGAGAAATCAGACTGAAATCCCCTGCCCGCTTGGACAAATCCTAAATAAATGAAAAGCAGCCTGTCCAGCTCCACGGACTGAGCGCCGCGCTCCTATCCTCGCGCTCTCACTCCCACAGCAGAGGATCTGGCACTAACTCTTTGTAAACCCACAGGAGGGGTGGTGAAGTATACCCACTCCAGCCCCCCCAGCCCCCCCCCCCCCCCTTTACCCCGCCGACCCTCGTCATTGGACACCGCCCCGTCTCTCTCAGACGCGTCTCCGGCTCGAGCCGCGACGCGATTGGCTGGCGGCCGCGTCACTCCATGCGCGCTCCTGAGGGTCGCGTCGGCGGGTTGAGATGCTCAGTGAAGATGCTGCAGGCTGCAGAGACACGCTGTAGAGCCCGAGGCTGCTGCTGGTGATGATGATGATGATCATATAATTAAAGAAGAATAAATGTCCCTTTGTTGTGTTGGACTGTGGCGGCAGATCAAACGCTCAGAGGCTTTAAAAAAAAAAGGGGGGGGGGGCATCAACCTGTTCGCACGTGCTGTCAGGTGGGCTACAACCGGAAAASCTGCATATTCATCATCCCATTTTAAATGACCTGCTTAGAATAAACAGATCAAACTCCTGTGTGTGTGTGTTTGTGTGTGTTTGTGTTGTGTTTTTGCGCCTCGCAGCCGCTCGTCAGCGTTTGTCCCTCAGAAATAACCTTGGCATTTCTTCCATGTCATCACATCTACTTTGTCACAGCTCACCAGAACCACGCTTCTTCTCTCAGGTGAGGCGATTCAGTTAAAAACACACCTTCGTTGTGTGACTGAGTTGACAAAAACAAACAAAAAAAATAAACTATTTGTGGATTATTTTATAAAGATTTACTAAATTACCACAAAAAATTGCAAGAGATTGATAATCCTTGTATTGTAGTCAGGTTTTCAGCTAAGTGTTTGACCCTTCAAGCTTTTAATCAGCAGTTCAGCTTATTTAAAGGCACGAACAATATTTTTGTTTACAGCACGACGATGCTGAGATCGGCCGTCTGAGGAGTTCAGAAACAAGACCCAAAGCTACACGAGCGTCTCCAAGCAGCTCCGTGCTCCTCTGATCACAGCTGCTGGTGTTCTTTAAAGATATAAGGTTCACGAGACAACCTAACAGGATGCGGACGCAAGAGGAAATGCGACCCCAGGTTTGTTCAACCTGAAATCCAAGGTCATTCGTCMCAATTTGAAATATTATTACCTCACACAAACTGTGCACAAGACCTCAAAATTTTTCCAGTGGAAAATAGAGCTAAACGTATTCACGTCTGCAGGGATGAGCTTCCTGCCCCGCGTGTTGTTCTGCKCTGAGGATGCTGAGGAGTAATAACTGAATCTTACTCTGCAGTTTCAAAGGCTGAACTCTGCCCCTGCAAAACGACATACTGGAAGCAACGCGAGATATCCAGGAAAGAAACGGCAGATTAAATGAAATGTAAATCAAGAGTACAGAGATACAGCCGTCATTTAATGCCTCCCGCCTCCTTATCTTTCCTTAATTTCAGTTCTGTGTAGATAACTGTGTGTCTGAGCTGCTGCTGCTGCTGCTGCTGAGGAAGAGGAGGAGGAGGGAGGAAGCTGTCACGGTGAACACTGCCATCTTGAGGCCCACCCTCGCCGGTGCCTTAATCCTGCTCTGAGCTCCAAATCTCCCAAAACCTCCCAGTTCTGAATGAAGATTTCAGTTTAAAGCTCGCCCCCCTGCACCCGTGAGGGGGTGACAGATTACGCCACAAGCGTTAAGGAGTGCAAAGAGGCGGCTAAACAAAAGTGAGAATAAGAGGCGGGGTTTTGGTGGAGGTGAAGGACGCAGGAGACACGGTGGCGAGGTGAGAACCGGGGCTGCGAACGTCTCTGGAGAGCGCGGCTCAGTGCCCGGTCAGCAGTCCATTAGCACAACCAACCCAGTGGCCTGACCTTTCTGCCTTCACATTCAGCCATCAGTGTCCTTAGCTGGGAGAGAACAGCTAAAGGAGGGAATGTGTCACTTCGGCTCAAAGTCTGACACCCTGATGTGGAGGGAAAAGTGACAACATAACTGTCTGCGGCGGTGAAACACTGTCTTGCTCCGGTGGCCAGCTGGAGTCATTAGTAACTCATCACCTGCTCTTACTCGCTCGCTGGGAGTACATCTGTCTCCGGCTTTTTTTTCCTCTTTTTTTCTGCATAACGAGAAATATATCCAACTAAGTAGAGATTTGCCAACCTTGCCAGGTCTCTGAGGTGTTCCGGTGTGTTAGCAGGAGGATAATTGTGCAGTAATTGGGACTGCTGAACAGAAAGCACACTCCTAAAAAAGCCAGAACTCATCTTCTGATCCGGCTGCGTCCGCTGATATGTGCTGTCCGTGTCACATGTCGTAAAAAAACCTCACCTTCTTCCCTGAGTGACCCCTGATTCAAAACGCCGGAGAGGAGACGAAAACGAGCAGCTTGTCTCGTGAATATTAGCTTAATTGGTGGCACCGGCTCAACTCTAGCTGTGAGTTGTTTGTCTCGTTTGGTTCGGTGGCCCTGTGATGGACTTGTAACCTGTCCAGGTGYCCCCCCGCCTCTCACTGCTGAAGACACCAGCTCCCTTTGACCCAGACAGGAGAAGAATGTGAAGAAAATAGTTCTGTTTTTGTCAGTTTCTCTGGTTTTTTTTTTCGTTAGTTTTTGTTGGATTTTTGGTTTAGTTTCTGCTTTCTTTCTTTTTTTTTTGCCATCTGCTCATATTTCCTGCTCCTTTGTTCTGCCACGCCCACTCACACCTGTTCGCTGTTTCCTCGAGCTCGGCTGTTTAGCCTCAGTTCATGCTAACACGTTAGCCTTTTTTGTTTTTGTTTTACAACTAAGTTTTACTTTAGCTCCTCGTGCTCAGTCTAGATCCTCTGGTTCAAAACCAACCAAAAGCTACGACAGTTTAACGCAGGACAGTCCAGTCCTGGTCCTGGATGCTTTACTTTGTTTCTCTGCTCCATCTCACCTAAACTGAATAAATGGGACTAACAAGCTCAAGCAGAACTTAAAGAAGTGATTCAGTGACTGAAACAAGTAAAAACCTGCAGGACCGAACACTCCTGGTGTAACCTGTGAGGACGAGATCACAGCTAAGCCGACTCAGCAAACAAAAACTGACAGTAACTCCGTCAGTTTTAGAGAAACTGAGAAAAAAACTAAATGTTGAAGCAGCTGAAAGTCATTTTAAACATACTCAGACAGATAAACCATCACGGTTGTGATGAACTTCAAAGTTTCACGTTTTACTTTGAATAAACATGAAACGTAACCCTCCTGAGCACAGCTAACAAACACTAACTGAGCTCTACCTGGTATTTCCTGCATAGAAACAGTGTTTTAACACGTCCTCTTATAAACACGGAAAGTACAAGTATGACTGACTAAATGTGACATAAACTAGATATATGACCCCCACACGTACACGAAGCAACTCAGAATTCACCAGAGCAGTGGGGGTC